AGGCTTACTAAAAGGTCTGTGTTAGTCAATTTAATGAGAAAACAATTTTAATATGAGAAGTCTTAAAATGATAAGGCCATACTAATCACTTATTAAAGCTCATAATAATTAATGTAAGTGGTATCAAGTTTTTAAGAATATCACTGCACTCTGCCCATGTGAATAAATACGTATGTAGAAAAAATTCGTCCAGATCTGTCCTTAAAAATTAACAAAAAAAAGATATCCAAACTCAAGAAGATGTCAAAAATGGCATGTTAAGGAAGAAGCAACTGGCACAAAAATATTGGCCTAAAGCTTTTTGCTGCAATGGATTGCTGGGGGCCTGTTAGCCATAACACGGCACATCGTTTGCTGCAGCGTGTGAAAGATAATGAAACTACAGGCTCCCCATTACCAAGCAGCATCAGTTTCGGTTTAAGAGAGCTCCAAAAAATTACAAGCCACCGGGTGCAACTATAACCACCGAGTGTGTGCAACGCTCGACCATATTCTATACACTATAAAGAACTGCGATGCCGTTCCGTACAATGCCCATAACAAGTCTATTTAAAAAGTCCATGTAAACAAAAAAAAAAAGGAAAGCCGTGTCACCAAACAAATAACTTTCAACACGTGCACCACAGACTCGCGAGCAGCTGTGGAGAAGTACAATGAAACCTCATTTATGCAGATAGTGTTAACTCGTAAATTAGGTTAACTCAAGCTGACAGCGCGGTCCCGGCAAAACAGTGTTTACTTCAAAGGTCACCTTTCATTAAAAGTTTTTTTTTCTGAGAACGATATTGGCATGGAATAAGCTCCCAAAGTTTATCATTCAAGCACTTATTTCTGTCACTGTCTTCAAGAATATTCGTTGGTGAATCTATGATACCAGTGTTTTGGTGTCTGATGTGTTGGTTGCTGTATTGGCTTTTTGCACTAGTACTTGTGAACTTACCAGTGATCATGTTATTGTTGTGCCGCTTATACAAGCGATTGATAGTTTCTGTACTTAATCTTTTTATAAGTGTGTACATTTTTGATAGTATGCTTGTTCATGTTAACACTCTTATATAGTATGTATGCCCTCCTGCTTTGGGCCAGCAACCTTGGCCTTTAGTATGATGAAATAAATAAATAGATCAAATGATGTCAAATGCTCAATAATCTGGGAGATTTAGCCGCACACCAGTCAATTCGAACAACTCTAGAGAGGACTATCGGAACTCTATATTTTGAATCCCGCAATCTCGTTGGCTTGGAGGCTCAAGCACTACTTGCCGTAACGACGACGGATCTCAAGTTTTAGAGAAACCAAAACCGAACTCACAACTGCAGCAGAATATTATCATAATGATAGTGAATGAGGGGGAAGTGGCTAGGTGGTGCTAGTCACCCCTCGGCAAAAGTGCTGGGGCCGCTGGCGCATCCACTGTCTACTAAAAGTGGAACACACTAACGACTACGACATACTAGAAGTGCTTGAAGAGGATCAAAATCACAGGGCCATTGATTACAGTCAAGATGAGCCAATGCAACATCGGACAGTGCAGGAGGCCACCGAAGCCGTTGCTGTGCTTTAGGAGTTCTGTGTCACTTCTTGCGAAAGTGAGTGTGCGCACCACCAGCTGATGGGGTTGAAGATGATTGTTCTAGCACAAATTCCAACGTTGAAGCAGATAGAAATAACACAGTTTTTCATGAAATAAAGGTTTGTCTATGCCGAATACTTTTTTTCAGGGTCCATTCGATTATATAAAATTCGGTTATTTCGAACATTTTCACTGATCCCATGAGACTCGGGTTGACGAGGTTTTACTGTAGTCTGCTGGCGTAAACGCAGCAAAAAAGTAATCACAACTATTACATCATCATAACTTGTATAGACTGCAGCATGGTGACGCAAGAGAAGTAGGGAGTCCTCGTTGAGTCACTTTTGAGGGTGTCACTGCCACGAGGTGCGTCATATAGTGCTTGATTGCGTACACAAACTCCAAAATTCATATAAAATACATTGCAAGCCATATTCACAGTTGATGTTTCACAGATGATATATTAGTGTTGATTGGAATTGATCCCACAGGCTATATCGACCGCAAAATTTCACGCTCTTTAAGGGCCTCCCCTTCAGGGCAAATGCAAGTTCTTCTGAAAATTACATTTTTTTTGTTTTTACTTGCTTTCACAAGTTTATTTTTTCTATTTTCATGACAAAAATACAACAAAGAATATAGTTATACTCAAAGTAGTCTAAAATACTCAAAGTAGTCTAAATTATACTCAAAGTAGTCTAAAATGGCTTTTAAGAGCACAAGGTGCCTATTGAAACGCTATCAAGAGCCCACTGTCTAGAGTCCTATGGCAATTGTCACCTCACTTTACCACTGCATTTCGCATGAGGAATTGACTAAAGTCACGCGTGTAAAATATCCATAATTTTAAAGCCCTTATAATGGCATAAATCATTTTAAAAAACATATCCTCTCCACATAGATGAGCTTTCATTTCTACGTTTCAAAAGCATTTTCCTCAAGACACAATTTCAAACAACTCCTTGAGTTTCAACATTCCATTTTTGGCACTTCTTGTTGCCAGATTGGTATTACATTTTCGTTAGATATTCCTTTGTAATTATCTTTTTTAAAACTTGACATCAGCTTATTTATTATTAACTTTAAGTAAGCAATTAGTATAGGCTAGAAATTTTGAGACTTCTTGCATTGCATTTTTTCTTGTTCATTTAAATATACTATATGCACTTACTTGATAATTATTTGCATTCTACACTTAATGCGGAACAATATGAGTTATTATGATCTCATAAACATAAAAGTTTCGTGGTGAAAAAAGTGCGCCCGAAAGGAGCTGTAATTTACACATTGTTATGGTACAAAATGAAAACTTTGCTACTTCATTTAAAAGAGATTACACATATGAAATCAGCTTAAAAACCTATGTAAACGACAAATATTTCATTGCCCTGGGCCACATATTTTTCTCAATATTGTTTTAGTAGGATCTCCCCTTAAAAGGAAAAATGTACACTCATCTATGTGGCAAAGTTATGATATTTAACGTTACTCCTTGCATCATGAGAGCTTGGGAATGATGGATACTTTGAGCACATGGCTTCAGTGATGTCCTCATGCAAAATGCAATGGCAAGCGGCCAGGTGACATTTGCCAGAGGACTCTAAAAATGATCACTTTTTAGTTTTCAATAACCACATAAGGCTCTTGAAAAGTGATTGCAATGAATTCCAGCTAAAGTGCACCTTTGAATTTTCATTTTTTTTTGTCACGGAGGTAGTTGACAATACGAGTAAAAACAGAAGATATGTAATTTTTCAAAAAACTAGGTTTTTAAAGTGGACTCTCCCTAAGACCAGTCTCAACTTGAATAGACTAGCAACCTTTAAAGTATCGAATAAATGCAAAAATGGGGGATGATTAACAGAGGATAAATGAAGGAAGCTCTAAACGCGGAAAGCAGTAACTGGTACAATTACCAATTCTTACTCTGCAGCTGCCGAGAGCATTTCCTAGAGTGGCAGGTTGCACAAGACAAAACCTGAGAGCACAACTTCGGTAAACTTTTTTTTTTTCAATGAGAGAAAAGAGGTCAGCAAAAACTCCTTTTTTATTAAGACTAGGAGGTCATGGCTGCTGAAAAGTGGTCCACATTCAAAGAGAATCACTGGGGACAGCTGGAAAAAGGTTGAGCTCGACTTCAATACAAAAAAGGTTAGCTCTCACACTCGTCTTAAACATAATGTTCACACATACGTGCAAGCATAGAGTTTCATACAATAATACCTAAAGAGGAATCTGGCGCTGCAATCGTGTACATCCATAGGAGTTATGGGAAGTAAAGGCTTCGGATTGGATAGGGTTAGCAAGCCAACTGTCTACAGACTTTTTTGGACAGTTTCAGTTTCGTTCTTCGCGCAGTGCGGGTAGTGGGGTGCGGTAAAAAAGGCTGAAGCAGTGCCTTTGTTGTTTGAAGAGGCTCACAACCACTAGATCTCCCGATTTGCTGCAAGGTTTCAGCTTTACGAGTCATATTCGACAGTTTAAACGAAGCATCGTCCACTCACCGCTGCGCATAGATGTAGCGTCTCATTCCAGTGCAGGATATTGCCTCGAGTTCATGTTTTTCACGAGTGTGTCTTGCCTAAACTTGTTTTAAATTGAGTGCAAAGCTAAGTAGACGCACCGTCACGCTTTGCTGACTCTACTTCACAACAAAACCAGAGGTGTGTTGGGGACGGACCCGTTGGGACACAGAAGACGACACTATAGGTGTTTCTCACTTAATACTACTATACTGTTATTTCCATTAATAGATACATACTTTCGAGAGAAAAACAAGCATGTTTGTTTTCAAGTGTTGTAAAAAATAATTCATTAAATCTTGATGCCAAATCTGGAACGCAATGGCAAAGCGATGCATATCCTGATGGTTGAATTTGCCCAGGTTTCTCTTTTGCCGCCTGGTCGTGAAAACTTTTTGCAATAAAGTTTGTGTACAAATAATTGAAACAAGTTTCAATTAAATATAAGTTCATATCACTTTGTTTTAAACTTGGAAAAGAAGCATCGCGAATCTCAAGAGCGTAATCCATGCGAAGCAGATTCGAAGCCTGTACTTCCCATAATTCCCATAGGGGTACCAGCGCTGCTGAAAGAGCCTGCGTAGATATTAGCCCAAGATTTTCTTCTAGGTATTACTGTATGAAACTCTATGCGTGCAAGCCTCTTCAACTGTGTGTTTGTGGCACCATGAAAAGCTTAATTCAAAAAACAAATGCAGAACTAACTTTTTAATTTCATGCCATTGTCTCTGCACCTAGATTCTCTAGAGCAATTCACATTTTCTCAAGCAGAAAGAAAAAACAAAATGCTAATAAATAAATGCAACAATGTCATGCTTACAAACTGGTGCGGCTGTAAAAGTACCAATGGAGCATTTAAAAAATGAAAAGGGAGCAGCAGGAAGAAATGTATTAAGCTACTCACACAGTACTCCAACTGCTGAAGATATCGCTTCTTCGGGAGCCCAATCAATGGAGTTGGCCTTCCATCTGTAAATGAGGATCACTATAATACAAAACAAAAACACTAGCCCAATCATACTGCCCAACATTATAAACCTGCCATAGTATCCAAAGGTGCAGCTCGAGTTCAAAAGAGCAATTACTAAAGCAGATGTCAAATACTACTCATGTCAAGAACTACCTTTGAAAAACTTTTCAAGATGCTGTGCTCACAATCATAGTAGGGTAATGCTAATGTTTTTAGTGCTTGCTTGCCTTTGAGAGCAGTGATAGCTCCACTGCTGCTCTCTGACGAGTTGCAAGACCATAGTGGATTCATCACAGTGACAGAGGCCTGTCAACCACATTTGCATGCCTTCCATTGCACTGCTTATTGAGTGATGACACTTGTCCTTGGTTGTGCCATTTCACAATACGCCATCATTAATACCAGGAGGTCAGTTCAATATGCATCCAAGCATAATTTTGACAACCACTTGATTTTCCTGAATTTTGCTCACTCCATCGTAAACCCTCTGGCATTTCTAGAAATTCCGTGAACAAAGAGTAATTATGGCAAACACATTTTTAGCTGTTCAGTTGTTTTTTTTTTATATTTTCACAGGAAAACGTGATTAGTGCTTCTACTTTCATAGTCGTATTGTGCCCTATCAATCTCAATTAACAAAACGCAACAGGCTGGTAGTTTCGGAGATGTTGCACAGTGCTGGTTTTATGCATATTTCCAGCTATGTATTGACCCTCTGAAGTCAGGTTTTTTTTGTAAAATGCATAAATGAACATTTTTTTCACTGCCAAATTATATTCTTTAAAAGAGTCTATGCAAAAAAAATTCGAAATTTTTTAGTGACCGTAAAGTTACAAAAACAAATCATTTGTGTTGTTGCATACACATGGTTTCATCATGAGTACCAGCAGCATAAATTATAAAGAAGAATTTGCATCACTTTAAAAATTATGCACTGAAATAATAATCTGTGTAGTTCACAGACTTACAAAAATAAGTGCACAAAGTGGCATAAAGTGGTAACAAGGGGAAGAAAAGCCACTTTTTATCCCTTCAGCATCGTCTCACTGCTTGCACTTTTGAGATGTCGCTCACTCATCAACACCTGACTCTTAACTCGTAGGTAAGTCCTCGTATGGTAGGCTGACATTTACTGAATCAGATTCTGATTTGACAGTTGAGCAGCGATTCAGAGGAATTGCTGCTGGACTCAGAATCGCTGCTGTACTCTCTTTCAATAGAAAAATCAGTGCACACTTCCAAAGCACAAGGAAACTGCGTGGGTGAGCACACTGAAGAAAACTGAGCAGCTGTGAGCACACCCAGAATGCAAGAACAAGTCTGAAACCTATATTAATCATTCATCTTTTCACTAACAAGATGAAAACAATTTTTATGGGTCCCCAAAACGAGAAACTCAACCAAAGTGGCATCATTCGTGTCAGCCAGCGCTTCACAAAAACAGGCGTAGTCGCATACTGGGCAGCAATAAACGAAGAGTAACAAATGGGTCACCTTTAGTAAGATTCTAAACCAGAACTAGCCAGCGCACCAGTGTAGTAAAGGGTAAAAAAATGGAAACACATCAGCACAAAAAGAATTGCATGTATGCCTGCAGTGTGGCAGCACATGCTAAGTAAGAGAAATGCTAAAAAGTTGTGTGTTTTAAACATAGAGGCAATGACGTGCATGTACATCATGTACATCTTTGACAGTCTTGTCTGTTAGAGGACGTCTTTGACCCTTACAGTTATCGAGCGAAAATGTGCCAGGATGCAAAGGGCTGAGTCAGAAAGAACTGAGTTTCTATCTCCAGTTAGCAGACATGCATACCAATCAAGTAGTGCACTAATGCACCCTTGACAACTAACATGTTTCATGCATCAGTGCAGCGGGACTCATGTCCCGCAACCATTTATGTCATAACACACTGTGACCAGTAACTATACATAAGCAAAGGTAGGTGCCTCGAAGCAATAAATAAAACTAATTTGTAAAAAATGCAGCAGCATGCAGCATGTCCCACTATTCTTAGTCATGCCGAAAGTTGAAGTGCAACATGAAAAGACTGTTGATTGCTCTCTTACAAGGCAAAATGGCAAGAATGTGACATTTTAATTTGTTTGAGGATATGTAACGACACTAAATTAATGGTCAGTTTGTACGAAGAAAACCTTTGCCCCAGTGCATTATCAGAAAATGTCGGTAACATAACATTTGGGCCTAAAACATTTAGGCCTAAAAGCTGCCATCTTTAAAAAAAAAGGAATGTTTTTGCAAGTGGGTTTTTATGCCATTCCACTGTTGCATTGTAGGGTATAGAAAAAAACTACTTTTTCCAATGCAAAAGGGGGCACTCACTGAAATGCTTGCACAGATTCTATACTTTCTTTCTGGCCAAACGATGAAAATTTATTCTAATGCACTGTGAATGCCATTGCACACACTATGCCGACTGCTCAGGATATCATATGTTATTCTGCCCTGTCTATCACAGCCACCTGCAAGTGATACATATCAAGCTAAATGACCAATTTAAACAGTACTTTTAACATGGCGCTTTCTTTTCTCTCTCATTAAACGGAACCTGAAGGGACCAAGAAAATGTGTTCCGTTTGGAAGCTCCATTTACTTAAAGATGAGCAGGTGTGCAATATGCAGGAATGAAACCAATAGTATTAGAGGCAGCTGTTTCATTTAGGCAGCAGTTCCGTTAAACAGGTTTCCATTTACCGGGAGTGTACTGTACTTAACTCGAGGCAGAGAGAACAGCTTGACTTAATTTCTGCCGTCTACCCGAGAGTGATACCTTGGGTGGTGCCATAGATTTCAACGCATTGCCCTCCATGCATTGAACCTAATCATCATTATAAGAAGCCTCTCCTAAATCTACAACTTGGGCAAATAGATTTGTCTAGATTCCCTACAATGTAAAAACAAGTCCTTCATCTGGAACTCGATGTAGCAACTGACGCAAAATACCTTTCACAGTACCCCATGTGCAATAATATAAAAAGATGGAAGAATAAAAGTCTGCTAAGAATCTGGAAAGATAGTGCTCACTTGACATGTTTATAGATGGTATAAACATGTCACACACAAAGTAGACAAGTAAAAAAGATAAAACATATCAAGTGTTGTCCAGTGTCGTTTCGATCCCCTGTTGGCAGTCTATGCATATAAAAAATATAAATGCTGCACAGGATCCCTAAGCATATTCTTATAAGATGAGAGAATGAAAACATTTTTTTTACTGTGTTGACGTGAGGGAAGGGTGCTGAAAAGCGGTGCCGCCAAATCGTAATATAATGCAATGTGAAAGGATGAATTATGTTATAAAATGTTTAGTTCATTGAGCTTACATCATTAGCTATTGCTGTGTGCAATGTGTCCAGATCAAGGTGAGAACATAAACACCTTGCAATATTTCATGAATGTCTTTTTTAAATACACCACTGCTTTCAACTGCTCCACTGACAAGTTCGGAAATGTCAATGTCTCACACAATGACATCTGACAACATAATGTTATTTTGTCAAACATGTTCCCATGTCTGCTTCTACCAGCCCTTCTCGAATTTAGTGACTTGGGTGTAGAGCACCCACATTTTAATTCACGCTCGTCCCCTTGTTCCTCCTTGTCAATGGAGCACTTCACCATCGAATTGTCTGCCGATACCGATATCAGTCTCACTGGAGCTTTGCACACTACTGTGACACTCCCTCCACAGAATTTGAAGGCCAACTGTTAAGAAGTACAATGGTGTGCTCCCTTCAAGCAGGACTTCCCTTTCTGCAGAGATCCTCTTCACCTAATCCATGGCTGCAAGTTGCTCTAGGCACCAGTCTCAATCGTTTCTGGTGAGTGAGGTCACTTGTTTCCCAGACATGTAATTTGTGGACACCCAATCAGCAAGCATTTTTGCCAACCTAACTGAAAATGCTTGCATGTTAAAATAAAATAATGAGCCTTCCTGCAACTTCCGTCACACTGCCATGGCAATCCAAGACGGTACCACTCAAAATACTACACAGCACATTCAGAACAGTGACAGTGTTAATGAACACACAAATGAGAAAGACCACACAAAAAGCTGCTATGTACCATTGAATGTCCAGTCTGGCGCATCACAAAATGCAGGAGTTTCATTCCAGCGCCTTGGAAGACCAGCTCTGAAATATTAAATAAAACTTTATATTACAAAACAAATATAAAAGTATCAGTACTATTGTCCTCTTTCAGCACGGCAAAATGTGCTTGGTGCATATAGAAATAAGAGTGAATTTTTAAACCAATGGCAAAATAAACTTGTACCACCAAAGGAAAGAGCAAAGGAGGCCTTGAGTGCATCAGCTCCTTTATGAGACATGCCAGCTCTTTCACAGTTGTATTAGGAAGTATTAAACAACCAGTGCATTTAGCTCTATGCAATGGCCTTCAACCAATGTAACAAGCTGATGGGTACAGGCATCAATAATATGTGGTACTACGTAATCACCACCTCTAGTTTTCATTACCTACATACAATTTTTTACCCAGAGTCCCAATGCACATGGCTCCACAAAGAACTTGTCACATCACATGGGACGAGTACTGATTTGCAATGTGCTCAAACAGTTTAGGCTTTTTAAAATATTGTTACAGGGCGACGACAAAAGACAGGTGTATTTAGAATATATACACGAACAAAGCAATCGAGACTACAGCAGCCACGATGGCACAAACAGGAGACAACCCATCCTCCTCTTCTTCAACCTCTAGGTGAGCGGCACATAACAATACGCTCCGGTGACAAAAGCATCAACTCCATGCATCTAAACAAAGACAGCTGTGAGAATGGGCATTATACACTTGCATCGGTGAGGTCCAGCCTACAACACAGCTTCAGGCGCACGCAAAAGATTTCAGTGTAGGGATGAGTTGACCAGGACGAAGACAACGGTTCAATATCATACGTCACGTCAGTCACTTGATGGCATACACGGTATGGTTCAGCGTGCGGGAACAGGAGCGTTCCAGAAAGTCCAACACAGCGTGCTGAAGACCAAAACAGTACAAGAGATCCAGGAAGAAAGTGGGCATTTATGTGGCAGCTATGATAACGAGATTGCTGGCCCATTTGCGAGGCGGTTAATCCAATGCATGCGAGTTGACGTGCATGATCAGCGCGGGCAATAGCTTCTTTAGCGTACCCAGTAGGCGGGTGCGTGGAAGGAGGCAGCATCGTATCCATGGGCAACATTGGATTTTGCCCGAATAAGAGGAAGAAAGGCGAATAACCAGCTGTTTGGGCCGGGACGTATTATATGCAAACGTGACAAAAAGCGATGCGGAATCCCAATATTGGTGGTTGGTAGACACGTACATTGCCAGCATGTCAGTAATCGTTCGGTTCATCTGCTCGGTCAAGCCATTTGTCTGTAAATGATAGGCCTTTGTTAGCTTACGCTTGGTCGAGCAAGACGTCAGGATGTCATTGATGACCCTAGAAAGAAACTGTCTGCCACAGTTAGTTAAGCATTGACACGGTGCTCCGTGCTGAAGGATGACGTTGTGAAGCAAGAATTCCGCCACGTCGATCGCGCAGTTGGTTGGAAGAGTGCGAGTAATTGTGAACAGAGTGGCATAGTCGGTGGCAACAAAAATCTCCCGAGCCAGACGTAGTGAACGGATTAAGCAAGGCCAGGCCGAGATGATGAAATGGTTCATAGGGGACATCGAGTGATTGAAGGCGGCCAGCAGGCGGGAGTGTTGAGTTCTTCTGGCACTGAAAAAGATTGCACAAGGTCACGTAATGGTGGACCGATTTACACATTCCTGGCCAGTAGAATCGACGGCATGGACAATCGTAGGTGCTGCGAAAACTGAGGAGCCCCGCTGTTGGCACATCGTGAAACTGGGCCAGGACAGTCGAATGAAGGTATACTGGAATGGCAAGCAATAGGTCAGGGCCGTCAAGCAGCAAACTCCAGCGAAGCAAGGTGCCATCGCGTAGCATGAAAAGACGAAGGGATGAATCAGGAGCCAGTGAGTTGAGCCGGTCGAAGATCTTGCGGAGAGCCGGGTCACGGCATTGCTCAACAGAAATGTTGAACAGGCCAGTTATTATGAGCACCGATGAAATGGTATCCATCGCCGAAGGTTTTGGTGGGTCTACAGAAAAACTGGATAGGCAGCCGGCGTTCTGGTGCAAGCGGCCAGACTTGTAGGCCACAGTGAACGAGTACTTTTGAAGTCGTAATGCCCAACGACCAAGGGGGCCAGTGGGATCGTTAAGAGAAGACAGCCAGCAGAGAGCGTGGTGATTACTGACAATGGTGAAGAGTCTGCCGTACAGATATGGGAGTAATGTTACAATGGCTCAAAGTAGAGCTAGGCACTCTCTCTCTGTAATCGAATAAATCGGTTCAGCGGTGGAAAGGTGGCTGGCATATGAAATAACCCAATCCTGACCACGCTGGTATTGGCCGAGAAGAGCACCGACGCCGTGACCACTGGCATCGGTTCATACTTCGGTGGGTGCCAAGTCGTCGAAATGGGCCAACACAGGGGGCAATGTCAGTAAGTCGACAAGGTGAGAAAAGGCAGACGGTATGTCAGGGCCCCAGGAGTATGTCAGGGCACATCCTTTTAAAGAAGGCATGTGAGGGGCTGTGCAATCGCTGCAAAATCTTTCACAAAGCGGCAAAAATATGAGCATAAACCAAAGAAAGAGAAACATCCTTTGAAGATCGTGGAGTGAGGAAGTTTATAACGGCAGATATTTTTTCTGGGTCTGGTCATATACCAACAGTGTCAACAAGATGGCCAAGAACAAAGATCTTTCAGTGGGGAAAGCGGCATTTTGAAGAGTTGAGCTGAAGACCTGCAGTGCAAAAGACTTACAATATAGCCGACAAGCGCTGCAGGTGACTTGTGAACGTAGGCGAAAAGACGACGACATCGTTGAGGTAGCAGAAACATGTGGACCACTTAAAACCCTGTAGTAAAGAGTCCATCATACACTCAAACGCTGCTGGCACGTTGCGCAGCCCAAAGGGCATGACCCTGAGGAGGTATGGTAGTGTAAATGGTATATGTCAGTTTTAGCATAATATCTTAGAAACAGCTGCAAGCATTCCCATAAAGTTTTACTTGCCAACAAAAAATGCCACTATGTATAAAGTGACACGCTTTTTGTATGCCTAGGTTGCTTATCCTTCCTATGACCCACGGCCAAATTTTAAAGGAGGTTCACTTATCCAATGTACCTTTTTTCTGCAACTACCAGAGGGAATGTAACCATATTCAACCGTGTTGTTGTAGAGACTCATGGGTTACATCTGAACTAAAAAAATATTACATTTCTCATGAAGTTCTAGTACAAATAAAAATAAAAATACTGCTTGCACAAAGTCACAAAGGATGCGTATTAATGTGTAATTTTTTTTACAGCTTTACTTTTTATGAAAATGACAATTTTTGTTTAGTTCAGATTGTTTCTAATGTTTTGTAGCTCACACGTACAAAGTTTGATTAAAATCGATTCAATACTTTTTGAGAAAAAATACAATGAAGTTGAAAAACGTACAGAAAATGCAATCAGAGAAAAATGAAGTTTTACATGCGCATAATGCTTACACCAGAGGGCGCACGGCACACTTCGGTGCGGCATCTAAATCGCTTCGAGTGGCCGCTCGGCGTCGGGCTTCCACAGGATTGTTCCTCAGAGTAAGTAAATATTTTGGTGTCAAAATTGAACATTCAATTTTTTGGGGAGTTTACCATACCTTACCCCCTTAAAGAGCCCATCCCGTGTGAAAAAGGCGGCCTTCTCCTGATCATTTTTATCGACAGCTATTTGCCAATAGCCTGAGCGAAGATCTATGTAGAAAAGTACTGTGCACCATAGAATCAAGGGCGTCATCTGTTCGCAGCAAAGGGTCTTTCTTGGTGATCTTGTTGAGGTGCCGATAGTCGACGCAGAAGCGCCAGGTGTTGTCTTTTTTCTTTACAAGAACGACAGGCAACACCCAAAGACTCGAAGATGATTTGATGATGTCTTTAGAGAGGATCTTGTCGACTTTTGTTTGTATGACTTTTACGCTCGTTCACGGAGACATGGTAAGGAAGTGGATGAATGGGTTTTGAGTCCCCAGTATCAATACGATGTGTCCCCAAAGATGCTTGCTTGACCAAGTTGGGACGAGACAAAATCGAAACATTAAGGTATGACGTCAACAAAAGACGTAGGTCCTGGCTCTGGGAAGGTGAAAGGTTTGGGGAAATCATATCGACGAAGTGGTCGTCAGGTGTTGCACCAGCAGCAGAGAGGCCTGACGACTACTGCGGCGCACTGATGGCTAGGGCAACAGGGTCATGTACGTCTAGAGATGATATAGTGCCCAGAGTGATACCTTCGGGAAGCAATTCTTAGCAATGTACAAAGTTCAGAACAGGGAGACATGCGTTGTATGTAGAAACAGAGTGAGGCAGAGCTATACGACACGTCAGAAGAACGTCCAAAAAAGGGGGCAAGCAGGTATGCGCCATCACGCACCAGAAGCTCCAGAATAAATAAGACGCACGTCGCCGTGCCTGGGTGCAAGCGAACGAACTGGACCACACATCAGCGTGGTGGCGACGTGACGGTGAAGTCAAGCCTCTCAGAAAGCTCTAACTGTAAAAGGCCAGCAAAACAGTCGATGAGTGCAGAATGCGTGCTCAGAAAGTTATGGCCGAGGATGAGGTCATGGGGGCAGTCGTTCAGAACAGCAAAGAGAATCGAGATCTTGCGGTCAGCGAAGCTCACACGCGCAGTGCACATTCTAAGAATCCAAGAAGTACTCCCATCGGCGACACGAACAATGGGTGACAAGGCGGGCGTAAAGACCTTGCAGAGGTGATGATAAGGGTAGGCGCTCATGACAGATAATTGGGCCCCAGTGTTGATTAGCCCCGAAACAGGCACAGCATCCACTTCCATGTCCGAAATGTTTTGTCGGGTAGCCAAGGTCAACAGAGCATGACCTCCGGCAGCTGCATTGGTCAGTTTCCCGAGGAGGGACGACGAGGGTACAGCGAAGGTCAGCAACGAGGCAAAGGAGACCAAAAACGTTGCTGGTTCTGTGGGGACGGCAAGCGGTTCTAACGTGGGGCTGAGGTTCAAGGATTAAGATTCTCTGGATCCTGG